CGCTTTTTGTTCGTCAAAGTACAGTACTGTGTTTTGGAAGCATTGAACTGTACAAGATTGTTGCGTCCCCAAGCAGTGATAGCCTCCAGGTCTCTTGTCAGAGAAGAAGTCGTCGCTAGTCTTCTTTTTTCCAGCTCAGCGGCAGAGATCGGCTTGTCACTCTGAATTCCTGCATGTAGAGTGCTGTCATCAGCGAAGCTGTGGATTGGGTTGATCGTGCAGGAAAGGAGGTCGTTGATATGTAAGAGAAACAGTGTTGGAGCCAAGACCGATCCCTGGGGAACACCCGCGTTGACGTTGTGGGATGAAGAGGAGAATCCGTCAATTACGACGGATATCTTGCGGCCAGAGATAAAGTCAGCCACCCATCTGCAAAGCTTTTCTGGGAGGCCGTAGGATGGAAGTTTGCTTAAGAGGGCAGCGTGCCACAGCTGATCGAACGCTTTCGTGATGTCAAGAGCAACGACATAAGCCTCACCATGAGACTGGATGAGTTTACTCCACAGTTACGTGACGTAAGCTAGGAGGTCCCCTGTGGATCGTTGGTGCCGGAAACCGTACTGCCTGTCGCTAATCAAGCTGTGACGTTCGAGGTAGTCCAGAAGCTCGCGATTTATGCACCTCTCCATCACTTTACTTATAACAGAAAGCAGAGCTATAGGCCTGTAGTTGTAAGGGTCGGTCTTAGATCCTTTTTTTGTGATGGGCTGTACATGAGCAAATTTCCAGTTTTCTGGGAAAGTACCGGATTCATAAGATATCTGGAAGAGACGCGAAAGAACTGGAGCAAACTCCGCTGCACATCTCTTCAGTATAATGGCAGGAATCAAGTCCGGACCAGAAGCTTTGTTGATGTCGAGCGACAAGAGCACTCGTCTTACGGTCTTATGCCTGAATGTTACCTCCCGCATAGTGTGGGGAACCCTTTGAATTGACGGTACTTGGGCGTTGGTGGGGACGTCCATGGTGGAGTTGGCAGCAAAGATCTTGGCTAGCACTTCCGCCTTGGCCTTTGAGTCGAATACAATAGTTCCATCCTGACACGTAAGTGGTGGAAGACTACTGTGTGAGAAGTTCTTTTCAATCTGCTTGGCCATCGTCCAGAAAGACCGACTGCCATTGCGCTGCGACATTACCCTGTGCCTAACTTTTATATCATGCTGGTTTTTGGCATTGCGAACCGCTTCGTTATATTTGTTTCTGGACTCGACGTCGGCTTGTCTGTTCTCTACAGTGGGATTTTGTAAGAAGATTCTGTGGGCCTTGATCTTCTGCTGGCGAGCAGTGTCACACGATTTGTTGAACCAGCCGTTGGACCCTGGTTTAGGAACTTTCACTGTGTGAGGGATGTATTCCTCCATTCCGACGTGGATAATTTCGGTTATTGAAGAACAGACAGTCGACGCATCCGCGTCAGTGAAACAGACATCTCTCCAAGGAAAGCTAGAGAAGAAGTCTCTGAGCCCCTCCCAGTCGGCATGTCCGTAATGCCAAGTTTTGCGGCCTGTGCGAGTTTCTGCTTCCACAGCGGCTTCTGACCGAAACCTAATCTCCACAACACCGTGATCTGAGTTACCCAGGGGGGACAGGACAGCAGTGCTGTAAGGGGCAGGATGCGTGGTCAGAAAGAGATCCAGCAGGCTACTGGCGTGTGACGAGACGCGGGGGAAAAAAGTAGGGCTTGTCACCAACTGGGTCAGCCCTTGAGTAAGAGCGAACGCTTCGACTGCACGACCTGCTGCATCGGTCCTATTTGAGCCCAACCAAAGCTCATTATGGGCATTGAAATCACCGAGAAGAACTACCTCTGAAGCGGGGTGATTGATGTTCAGGAAGTCGATCTGGACGGCGAGGTATTCGAGTAGGTCATTGATTGATTCGATTGACATAATTTTTTCGTGATTAATTGTAGATTTATTGTATTTTGATCTAAAGATTTTCCTATTTGTTTGGTTTGTGTTTAGTTTAAGTTTATTTATTGATCTATTCAATGACGAATTTAGAGGGAAACGCCCCTTCTCCCTCTCTGGACTCCTAAGCCTGCCATTTTTTCAATAAAATGCTACAAATCGCTATATATAGGAGCTAAAATTACCGTAATGTACCTGAATCGTGAAGACGTGCTCTCCTTGTCGTATCACATAGCAGCATATACAGGGTATTCGAAAAATATAGGAGAGGATGATTCCTTGTTAAAAAATATGAAAAAAAGTACTCCCCAACCTGAAACCTTCGTCAACGCATAATCGAAAGCTGCCATTATATCCTACATGTTTTTGAAAATGTCCGTCAGAAATTTGAACATCGCCTATGTTGTTTGGCCAATGACGGACAATATTTTGAACACTCATCGAAATAAAAAGTAATATGTTTGTGTTTTTGTTTACTATCTGAACAAATTAAGATAAATAAAGTTTTGTCTAATTTTCTTGAAAACGAATCGGTTTTCAAATGAATATATCACATGCTTATTATATGATGTATGTTATTTTACAGAATAAAAGTCGACGATGTATTTTTTTACCAATTCCTATAACGAGTTCATATTTTTTGAGTTAGCATAATTAACAACACCCTGAATACATTTGTTTATGAGTATAATGCAACTCGAGGATAACAGAGAGGGCAAGTGTCGCTGATCAGAATCCTGTAAACAATCGTTGTGATGTGTTCATGTTCAGCGCATTCGTCAGATGGCACTGTTGACGGTGGTACCAGGAATCAAAGGAGACAGTGTTATCTGTAGTGTAGCTAATAACACTGGACCACAAATTTTAGTTTTTTAATTGTATCTTGTGGGAAAAGTGCACTTCTTTGTTAATTTTGGGGCGCTGAATCCAAAAATGACAATGAAATAAAAAAATTAGTTGCGGTTATAAAAAAAAACTTTTTATTTTTAAGGATATATTAAAAAAACTAACAAGATTCATATTATACTTATAAGAATCACTATATGCGCTGTCTTTTTGCTGTTGTTTTATGGATCGTTTCTGGGGCATCTCTATCAAGAGTCCAACAGTAGTCTGCAAGCATGGAAGGATTCCACTTTCCCTGGTACCTTTTTCCATTGTTGAAATATCCTGATGAAAAAGTTCGCCGTGCTCATCACTTAAGGCTCCGCAATTGTCAGGAAAAAAGTCCAGGTGTGAGTGTAGGAAATGTATCTTAAGAGACATATTACAGCCCATCTTTTGATACGATGACAGCAAATTTTTGAGAAGGGTTTTATAGTTGTCAGCTTTTCTATTTCCCAAGAAATTAGTGACCACCAGACGGAAATCATTTCAAGCAGTTTTTTCAATACCTGAAAGTGTTTTCAAACTGTGTGTCTTTCAAAATATTTCGAATCTGTGGCCCAACAGAAATACCTTCTTTAACCTTTGCCTCACTTAGTCTTGGAAATTTCTGACGCAGGTATTGAAAAGCTGACCCATCTCTACCTAATGCCTTTACAAAGTTTTTCATTAGACCCAACTTGATATGCAGTGGTGGTGATAAAATTTTTTTCGAATCTACTAATGGCATATACTGTACATTTTTTTGACCTGGCTCTTGGAATTGACGAACAGGCCAGTTTTGTCTGGTGTAATGAAGCGCCTTTGCCCGACTGTCCCATTCACACAAAAAACAGCAAAACTTTGTGTAGCCTAGCTGCAGCCCAAGTAAAACTGCAACAACTTTCAAATCGCCACAAATATGCCATTGGTGCTCATCGTATTTTATGCATGTCAATAGGTTCTTCATATTGTCATATGATTCTTTCATGTGAACTGCATACCCTACAGGAAGAGATGGTAAAATATTTCCAATATGCAATAACACTGCCTTTAAACTCAATGTTGAACTGTCTATAAACAATCTCCATTCTTCTGGGTTATAGTTTATATTTAAAGCCGCCAGTAAGCCGTTAATGTTACTGCAGAAAACCAAGTTATTCTCCATATGGAAAAATGGTCTTTGTGGCGTTTACGAAAAACACATACCGAAACATCGTCTTCTAACAAGTTCCACTGCTGCAGTCTTGATCCAAGTAACTCTGCCTTACATTTTGGAAGTTCTAAATCTCTTACAAGATCATTTAATTCTGACTGTGTTATTTTGTGCGGTTGGTGGCATGACGTGCTCGGTATAAAATCAGGATCTCTTGACGTTGATGGCATATCTTCTTCCTGACGAATCACTCGATCGCCATGATCTGATTCGTTTTCTGATTCGCAAGTGTAGGATTCTGGGGGTTTTGGAATAGGATTTTCGTCACTGTGAGGCACAGGTCTCATCGCAGATGGTATGTTTGGGTAGTTAATAACCGATTTTTTTTTCTTGGACATACCTGTGGCTTGTCCAACACAAGGTACCATGCAAAAGTAACAATCATTAATATGATTTGTAGGCTCTCTCCAAACCATTGGGACAGCAAAGCGCATAGACCGTTTTTTGCCATTTAACCAGCTCCGCAGACTTGAAGCACATGTATTACAGCAGATGTGGGGTGCCCACTGTTTGTCTTGATCACCTAGTTTACAACCGAAATAAAGCTGATATGCCTTTGTTATTAGTGGAGTAATAGACGGTCTCTGAGACGCAAAAGTCACATCACCACACACGTAACAAAACTGATCTGGATTGTTTACACACTTTCGAGACATCTTGCATGAACGCTGTCAGCCAACTGAGGAAAAAATGGCTAATATAAAACAATATAATGTACACGTATGTATAACGTAACACAATCATGCCGATTACATCATCTTTCCTTGCCGAATATAAAAATGTAGCACGTGCATTCTTGTGAATTACAGTATATTAACACTGCCACAGCAGGAACCCATATAATTACCGTATCTCTAAAACTTGAACTAATATTGAAAAAATAAGTTTCATTCCGGTTTTAGCACATTAAAAATAGTAATATTTTGTTGATTTTATTTAGGATATTTTTTGGCTGTTGATCAGTGAATCTGTGGGTACGATTCGTTAATCAATGATATAGCTTACATTACCTGCCGCTCTTTTCCAAAGATGCATGCCAATGTTTTTCGAAAAGTGGCACTACTTCTTTAGCCGAATCCTCTGGGTTGAGATCCCATAGATCTTCAATTACCAACGGGTTTCGATATCCCTTCCATGCCATTGGATCGAACCAAGTGTACAAAATACGAGAAAGCGCACCAGCGCCTTGTTCTGGACATGGTTTCTAAAAAAAGAAAAATTTATAACATTATTATGATATACAGAATATCCATTCGATTGACCTATCTAATTTTTGATAAAATGGGCCTTTGGGTTCAAGGACATGTCGTCGTCGTAAAGACAGTAAAATCCGGTAGAAATCATTTTTCAAATTCTAATCGTCCAGTCACCTGTGTAAAACACCAAACACAACACGAGGTATGATATTCAAAAATAGATAGAGTGGAATATCTGCTTTGTAAAATCGGGAAACAGTATCTAAAAACGTCACAAAACTTATTCGATCAGACTAACTAGGAGGAGGATTTATATGCGAATATTTAGGGGTGTGAATCTACATGAAAAATTAATGTTAGTTTGCTTTATAAACTATGGTCCAAACATTTTTCCTTACAAAAACTCGGGGTGTTGAAATTTTAGGAAAAAAATATTCCAGAGCATCTAAATATTTATTGCTAAATTGCATTCTTCAATTATTATTACATTAATGTTCTCGGACAATAGAACGGTTTTTATTTTTTTTACTCAAAAATGGCGCATGGAAGGAAAATAATTCAAGAGAGATCATTTGTTTTAAATTGAACGGGAATTCATAAATAATTCTTATTTGGCAAAAAACCATTAATTATATTAATTAATTTCCATTTTTTCCTAAAATTTCAACACCCCGAGTTTTTCTAAGGAAACATTTTTGGACCATAGTTTATAAAGCAGACTAACATTAATTTTTCATGAAGATACACACCCTTGAATATTCGCATAACATTACTGTACCTAGTTTATTCTAGAATGGTTTGAAAAACATATTTGTCATATTTTCAGCATTGTGAGCTCCGAAACGGTAAGAGATACGCAACTTTGTTCCGATAAGCGACTCTGTATCTCTTACCGTTTCCGAGTGTTTCGTGATGGGTGTCTTACCTTTGGCTTACCTTTGATATTCTATGTTTCGTTTCCCTCGGTGGTTCATCAGCCAGAGCGCTCAACAATGTTATACAACCCACAAGAGTGAAGTATAAAGTGTAACTGATGAGATTGTAGCTTCTTTTATCAGCTGTCTCTTGGGCCTCCCTGATTTCTGTTCGGAGTTGCGGTATAGCGCATATAAGCAGGAGTAACCAGAATAGGAACTGGAGTCCGGAGGTTCGTATGCCATATTTGCGGTTGTAGTATACAAAAACGGCTGAAAAAGCCTAAGAGGATATATGCGTCAGTTTTTTTAATAATCTCTAAGGTAACGTTGAGAATAAAAGGAGAAACGAATTCAATAAAATGCTCTATATTCCATATTTTATATCGCATTTTATAAACCAGCCGCAGCCGCTTGCTAAAAATTGCCTAGGTTGTTTATTTTGAACTGAAGCATGAATTTTTACCATAATAATAATAATAATATTTATTCGCCAAAATACAAAAAATGGGCAAATAAATATGAAAAAACCACAGAAGGCATCGCCTGTGTGTGGTTTATATCTTAATAACTAACAATCAATCATATATGTGTGTAACAATTATTGTTAAATCTAAAAAGTATTAATGTAATTGGAATTTTGTAGTTTTAGTTTTCTATATAATTATGTATAGTCATTCGCTGCACAGTACAAACCCAGTCTTTCAATTTTCGTCTAAATTTTTTTCCAAAATTAAGTATTTTTATTTCGTTTGGTACTACTTTATATAATTTAGCTGCTAAGAATTTAAATGATTTTTGAATAATGTTTTGTGTGGTCTTTGGATATTAGATTAGCCTATTCGAAATCGTGTGGTATGCTCGTGTTTATAGGATTTTTTTTCATTGCAATACTTATGGTATAAGGTGGTGGCATGTAAGAAATAAAGTTTTCTTGTATCAAGTATCCCTATTTCCTGATATAAGTTGTTCGTCGGATATAATCTTGGCCTATGGAAAATGGCTTTCAAAACAGTTTTCTGTGCTATATTCAGGTGAGAAATATATGTCTTGCAGGCCTCACCCCAGGCTGTGATGCCGTATATTATATGGGTTTCAACTAAGGCATGGTACAGGATTCGCAGATAACTTTCTGTAAGAATGTAGCAAGCATTTTGAGTTTATAGGCAACATTTCAAATTTTTTTGATAACATATTTAATATGGTTATCCCACCTTAGATGTGAGTCCATAAATATTCCAAGATAATTCAAAGTGTTAACTCTATCGATTTTGGTCTTTTGGCCATGATAATTAACGGAAATTTGTTCGAAGGTAGGTAAAAATTTTGAATAGGATGTAAATACAAGAAATTTTGTTTTTTTGAAGTTAACTGTTAAAATTTTGGTATCAAACCAGTCAATGATCCTTATAAAATCCTTTTCAGCTATTTGCTTCAGTGTGCACCAGTCATCAGCTTTATATAATACGAGGGTGTCATCTGCAAAACATATAGTCTTTACAGAACTCTGTTAATTTTGAATATGTCATTTAAGTAGAGACTAATTAATAGTGGGCCTAGTACTGTTCCTTGAGGCACACCATACTTGATGTACATTTTTTTACGGTAAGTGTTAGTGATTTTGACAGTCTGTGCCCGACTTCAAAGGTAATTTTTTAAAAGGATTTGTGATGTTCTCATAAGTCCCAATCTTTCCATAACTTTCAGAAGCTCGACATGGTTAACCGTATCAAAGGCATTTTTTAGATCAACAAAGATACCAATAGTAGGTATCTTTTTGTTGACATTAGAGTTAATTTCATCCATTGCAGCCAAACTTGCATCTGTAGTAGATTTTCCTTTTCTAAATACATATTGGTCAGAACATATAATTTTGTTTTTGTCCAAAAATTGTAATGTCCTTTTCTCTAGTAATTTTTCGAAAATGTTGGCTATATTCGATAGTACTGATATGGGTCTATAATTTGATGTTTCCATTCTGTCACCGCTTTTATAAACAGGAGTAATAACAGTTGTCTTAAATGCCTCCAGAAACATCTTATAGTGGAAAATCGGATTTAGAAGACACCTTTACCCATGTGTTTAACGAATGAAAAGTATTTTATATCAAATTTAGCATGTTGAAAAATATATAATAATAATAATAATAATAATAATAATAATAATAATAATAGACGTCTCTTACACTTAACCATATAGTCTCTAGCAGATGTTCAAAAGAATACACTATCCACAAACAGATTTGGTTCATTACATCGAAAGTAAAATTTTTAAAAAAAAGAGAAAAAGGCATACTTTCCAAACCCAAATGCACCAAAAAATTATTAATCTGAATTAAAGATGGAATAAACTTTTTGTCGAAAGACAGGTAATGAACATTCTTTATATACTTTAGGAAGGTCATTATAAATAATAGCAACATTGTAAGAAAAACTGCGTTTAAAAAGTGTAGACGTATGCAGGGGTATACTAATATTATTTTCTCTGAGAGTTCTACAGTGAACATCATTATTAAATGAAATTTTTTCCTTCAAGTAATAAGGTTTAGACGTGAGCAGCAATTTGTGAACAAAAACTGAATAGTGATACTTGACCATGTCATTAATTTTTAACCAGTTTAGAACGGGATATTTCGCCGATACATGATCAAATTTACGTAAGCCAAAAATGAATCGTATACAATTACTTACTTTCTAAGTTAAAGTACATTGGATTTGACAATATAGCTATCCAATTCTTCAAAAACTACCTCTCACACCGTATGCAGTGCGTTTCTGTAGGCAGCAGGCTATCAGAAGTCAGTATGATACCATCAGGAATCCCTCAGGGCTCCATACTAGGCCCTGTGTTATTTCTCATATACACTTTTGATTTGCACAAGTCTGTCGCACATTCCGATTTACTAAGCTTTGCTGATGACACTCAACTCATTCATTATTTTGACGCCTCTTGTTCGCAGGATGCTGCTGCCTTATTAGAGCAGGATCTGAGCAAAGTGCAAAAATATTCAAGTGACCATAATCTAAACATTAATCCAGATAAGACTCAAATATTACTATTTTGTTCCGACGCAAGGAGAAGTGTCGTGGAGAATACATTTAAAGTTAACCTTGATGGCTCGCTGCTGCAGATTGCTAATTCAGCTACAATTTTAGGTGTTGAAGTAGATAGCAAATTGAGATTTAGGGAGCATGTTATGTCCTTAGCTAAAAAAACGTATGGTCGAATGAGAGCGTTATATGCCAATCGCCACCTTCTGAACTTTAAACTGAGGAAAAAACTTTGTGAGTCTCTTGTGTTGCCAATTCTCAGTTATTGTGATATTTTATATTACCCATGTCTTGATGAACGGATGAAAAGCAGGCTTCAAATAATTCAAAACAATTGCATTAGCTTTATTCATGGATTGAGGAGATTTGACCATGTTAGTGACAAATACAGCCAAATGAAATGGCTAAGAATTGATAAACATGTGCGGTGCAAATACTTAGTGTTTTTGCACAAGTTGATAGCTGCGTCAAGACCTGCATACCTGAGAGAAAAGATCATATTTAATCAAGAAATTCATGACAGGATTACCAGGGACCGTATTATGATCAGGATACCTCCATACTCTATGACACTCTTCAAGCGTTGTTTCTCGTATAATGCTGCCGTATTTTACAATGCTTTGCCCAGAAAGTACAGGGAAATGTCTTTTGCTCGTTTTCGAAGGCAAATCAAGCAATTTATGCTCACTCTTCCCTGATATTTATATAACTGATTTTCTGAGCCGTTTAGGCATACGTGTACATAGTGTATATAGTTGTAGTGTTCTTTAGTTTAGTTGATTAGTTATTTAACCTTTCTGTACTCCTTAGTTTTTCTTATATATTTTTTTTCTCTTTTTTTTTTTGGAATTGCACACAACATCGTGCTTAAAGTACAGACAAAGGTAGTTAAGTGTAAGAGTAGCTCAAGCTAAACTTCGCTATCTTTGTCCCTCACATGTACAAAATATGAATAAAGGCGTTATTATTATTATTATTATTATTATAATTGTTTTGAATAACTTGAATAACGTTTTTAGTGAAATTGTCTAAACAAGTATAGTATACGATATTACAATAATGTAGTATAGATATGACCAATGCTTCACATAGTTTTTTACGCATCTTAAAATTTAGTAAATACCTGTTTGCTATAAGAGTGCGCAGCCGTAGGTAGGTTTTCTGAGATAGACTTTTAACATGTTCAATAAACCTTAATTTTGTATCAAAAACAACACCAAGAATTTTTGCAGAATCAGAAAATTGCAAGATTTGGTTATTTATCTGAATGTTCAAGAGCTGTGTTACATTGTATGTTTTTCTTTGTGCCCAAAATAATAACATTTTAGATTTTTATGGATTAATAAGTAGATTGTGATCTAAAGAGTATTTAATTAATTTATTAACATCGTTTTGTAAAATTTGTGTAGTATTATTGACATTATCTGGGTTAAAATAATGAAGCAATTGCGTATCGTCTGCAAATGACTGGACATGAGAATTATCAATAATTTTGCTTAAGTCGAACGTATATATGAGGAACAGAAGCGGTCCCAATACACAGCCCTGAGGTACGCCTGAGGGAATTATTGTCACTTGAGACATTTCTTGATTGAGAAAAACACACTGAGTTCTTTGATGAAGGTAACTGTCGAAAAATGAAAGGGATACACTGTCAAGACCTATGTAATTTAATTTCGCAAGTAATAATTTATGATTGATGCTGTCAAAGGCTTTCGAATAGTTTATAGAGATTAAGGCTAGTGCCATTTTCTTATCTAAGGCACTTAAAATATTGTCTTGCAGATTAAGTAGGGCAGATGTTGTACTATAAGTTTTTCTAAATCCGGATTGAGTATCGGGAAGTATAAAGAATTTTTCTAGGTAAGCGGTCAATTGGAACTTTATAATTTTTTCTAAAATTTTGGATAAAATTGGTAATAAACTGATAGGTCTGAGATCATTATACTCAGTGGGTTTCATTTTTTTAGGAATTGGAATAATTAAAGCTTGTTTCCATGTGTTTGGAAAGTAGCCTTTTTCCAAACAGTCGTTAAAGATGTGGACGATGTGATGGAGAATAACTGGCAGGCAAAGCTGGATCATTGACAGGGACATACCATCAATTCCCTTCGCATCAGATTTTAGGCTCCCTATTGTCTGTAATACGTCATTTGAACTAATCTTATATCGCTCGTGGGTTGGCCTTGTGAGACTATGATTACGAGGGATATCTTTTAAGTTTTGCATATGG